TTTAGCCCTGACGCCCAATCCGAACCCTGCTCAAAAGACTCCGAGACCCGGACCTTCCCCGGACCTCCCGCTGGTTAGCACTTGAATCCTCGTTCACGAAGAAAAAGACCGCTTGATGATGAAGAATGAGAGCATTAACAGGGCTGCGCACGTCAAAAAGACATGGTTCCTGTGCCCGTCGCCCTCCTGGTCGAGGCTGTGGGCCACAACCACAAATAGATTGAGGGGGAGCCTCAGAATGCTGTACACCCTTCCCCTGACGCCGTCCTCCACGACCTCGCTCTTCAGGTACGACATGCTAGGGAAGTATGCGCCGATGCACATCTCCACTACACAGAGCGTCCAGAACAAGACCTGCTCGTTCTCGAGTAGCACTGCTGCCGAAAGACAGCAGCTCGTCGCCAGCACTGTCATCATGAGCATGCCCGACGACGACTCCTTCGTATGTGTTGGCGTGGCCAGCGAGAATAAGGCTGACCCGGCCATCATGGCGCACATGAAGCTCGAGAAGATCAGCCCGAATGGCAACTCCTCGTCGGAGCCTGCCTTTGTCCTTGCGCTCTTGAGTGCGGCCGACCAGAAGAAGACGAAGAGGTACATGGTACCCTCGAAGAAGGTCGACGTGAGGCCCAGGCCCCAGATGCGCTTATCGCCGAGGATGGTCCGAATGCCACTGCGCATGTCCGCCAGGGACGTCGTCTGTCCGGCACCCTCCCTGCTGTTGCTCGTTCCGTAATTCTCTGGCCACGTCTTGAGGATCAGGACAGCAGCCGCTGCGGCACTCAGCGCGGCCGCCAGGAAAGGCCAGACGCGCGCTCCGTCGAATCGAGAAACCAGTGCATCGCCGAGAACCCCTGATGCGATGGCAACGATCGAACTCAATGTGGTCATGTTGCCGAAAACGGTGCCCAGCTTCAATTGAGAGCGAGTGAGATCACGTTGGTGGTACTCGGTAATGAGCCAAGCTTCGAATACGCTGTACAGCAGAGTCGTGGAAATGCCGCCGCTGAGCCGACCAAGGAAGAGAACGATGATATTGTCGAAGACCATGGAGAGACACGTGAGGATGTAGGTAGCGCAATAGATGAGGCACGCCAGTCGTCGCCCATAGCGGTCGGCGAGTCCGCCTGCGAAGGACGCGGAGACGGCGCCGGATATGAAGCCTGCTGCGTACAGAGCAGCGACAAGCTTTTCGGGGAGTTGTTTTTCGTATTTGTACATGGCGTAAATGTGAGGGCCTTGCAGCCAGTCCGCGCCAACAGCTAATGCGTAAACGGAGAAGTACTCAACCTGAAAACGCCGGGCTGATATCTTCATCTCGACCGGCGGACTGAGAAGCTGCTGGCTCTCGACTTGGTCGTCTTCGTTCTCTTTCGTTTCGACATTGCTCAGTCGTCGCCTCTGCACGATGTACTGACGATAGAGCAGACCAGCGTTGACTGCCGTGAACAGGCCCAGGTTCAATTGATAGAAGGACATTGAAGGCACTAAGGACGATATCATTTCGTGTCGGGGCGTAAACTGGTGGCGTTTGTAGTGGTGAAAGGGAGGAGAAATGGTGGAATGTCAGGAAACAGGCGTCGTTGTCAGGAAGCTGCCGTCCATCCGACGTCGTGACATGCAAGGTGTTTCATCTGTGACCATACACTAGTCCTGAGGTACGCGATCGGAATGATCGGTACGTGCGACAGTGCCGAGCCGTCGATTAATGAGAAGCTCACAAGCAGCGTGGGCCCGCGCTGTGGTCTGAATTCTTCCAAGATCGTGAACGTTCTCAACAGGAGCGTTGCCCGAGCTGCCCTCACCGAGTATGGGTGCTGATGACATGATGCGACTTCTGCGAATATGGTGTGGATACGTAGACTGCAATCAATAATGGTAAGCTTGTCAACGTTGGACAGGTGCGAACAGGCGGCACTTGCCTCCACAAGGCCCCGCTTGTGCGCCCGAAATAGCATCACAACTTTGCCGTCAGCCTCCTACGATCTTCGTGCAGGGGATACGACATAACCCGTACTCCCGAGACTCTGTCTTTGACAACTTGAAGCGTCGCTCTGGCTGGCTGACGTGATTCCGTGGCCGCAGTGTACTCGAGGGCGGCGTGCCCGTGTAGACAGGTTCACGATGCTCGCGAGAGGCCACTTGGATTATAGTATGGAATTGGACCAGCAAGTTCCAATCATTGTCGGAACACGTGTCGCTGGATATTGCTACGCTGGAGGACCAATGTTCCAAAACAGCAACTCCGAGGACCCAGCATCCATCTGGTACTGATGCCTCAAACTAGACTTGATGAGGTTTTCTCAACGTTGATCAGTGGGAATACAGGCATAAACAGACATTTATGGAGTCAAGTTTGATTCTGAACTAGAGAAAGACATCCGAGAGGGCAGATATCCTTTCCCATACTGTGCCGGTAACCTCGTTATGACCTCTTTGAGGCACCATTTTTTTTCTCATCAATGAATACGAAGAACTGAAAACTGTGCTTCAATGTCAAAGTTGATCCATGTGGAAACATGCGGAATAGCGAGCTCCAAGAAACGCAATTATTCAAACGGACAAGTCGCTCGCCGCCGCTGATGACTCGTGGCGCCCTATCATAATAATGCAGACTCCTTGGCGTGTTTTCTCTACCTGTGACCGCGAGGTAGTCATAAAAGCAATCCCTGGGCCTTCCGACGGACGCCGCGGCATGTCGGAATGTCTGGACTAGAGCAACAGCCAAGCGGCAGGCTGAAAGGAAGCCAGCCATTGTCGCGGGTAAAGGCGGGAACAAGATCTCGAAGGTTTGGCGACTATTCCAAGTCACGGGTGCGGCTGAGCTTTCACGAACGTAATGAAGGTGAACGAAGCGGGGGCAACTCGCTTCCCATCCCCATATATACCCAATTGCATTTTACAATGGGGCGGCCGGTTGGTCTGAGCCCAAAAGCCCTGTTGTCTTGAGCTCAACCCAGAAGTCGTGTTCATTAGCATTCGGCCACTGACGACAGCATTCTGCATTCAAACCCCGACAAGACGGAAGCCCGGTTGTACGAATCTTTCTCAGGAGTAATTCCTTATCCTCCGTGAATCTTGAAGCATCGCGGTCAAGCGTGGGTGGCTCGATCGATCATGGGCCTACTAAGGTCGCTCGGTGGTGGTGTGCTGTGAAGCCTGGATCATGTATAGCAACTTCTGATGATCCTTACACATTCGATCAGTCATGCATGGCCCAATGATTGACACGAGCCACATGCCTTCCGTGGCTTAACTCGTAAATCGGCCGCTCGAGTCCAACGGCTCGTAGGTACTGTAGCATAGGTACTCGTCTCACCCGAGAGCAGCTGGCCCCACATCCGATGGAGCCAAAAGTCCTACGCAAAGTCCTACAGACCAAATCTGCCTGTCAGCGTATTTACAGGCTGCAGGTCGCAGAACAGGAGACACCAGACTGCGAACTCAAAGCACAGATCTGCAGCGACTGGAGAGTGGGGGAGCGGAGAATGGATCAGACAGGCTCTCACTTTCGAGTGATCCTGCAACAGGATTCTGTCCTGGTTTAGCCAAGAAGCCTGTCTGACCATTGATGATATGAAGGGACAGACAGACTCAGGGTCCGAAACATGAACGCCATCCTTCCGCTTGTTTCTTTCTATCTGCGGTGCTTCGCGTAGCTTGTACTGGGGGTCAAGGCAGCAAGCTGGTGAAGAAAAGACGGCATGGCACCCATGTGCACTGCCTCCCGATAGACGACAGGGCATGCAAAACCCTGTCCCATCTGTCTTCTCAGTGGGTGTCCTGTCCCTGGTCGCTGCTGGGCCCAAGCTTGCTGTTCGCTGCTTGCTCAGCCTTACCAGTAGTGAGTCCTACAGTACATGTACTCCGGTGGTGCCAAAGCCGCTAGCGTGGTCAGCTCCTGGCGCCATTTGCGCCCTCAGCCACTGCCCTTTGTGACGGAGCTGCCCCTCATTGCTTTCCCCAGTGGAATTGAGAAGAGGAGCGAGAAGGAAGGAGGGAAGGAAACGAAGGCAAATCGCAACCCAATCCGCCCAAACACCTACCTAGGTACCTAGGTAGCCTAAGGTATCTACTATCTAGGTACCCAGGCCCAGCCCAACCTGACAGGCGCGCTTGCTCGGCCCTGGCCTCGTCAGTCACCATTCCCCAAGAATTTCAAATTCTTCCGCATCAGAGAGCAATCAGTGACACTTGTATGTGACGAGCATGGTATGAACCAAGCACAGCACTGCATGCACACCTACGTGAAGTGAAGGTGGTTCCCGGGGTCTAATCCTTCCGCGGCGAGGACGGTCACAACGTCCACATCACTTACCTACGTCCCGTCTTCGCCTCCAACAGGGTACATGCGCCGAGGCGCACCTGGCCACCCGCAGCAACAGCTGAGGACCTACCTACTATATGCCTTGGGTACCTACCTTACCTAGGTACTGAGCACCCATGCGCAGCACACGAGGTCGGTAGTGCAGGACTTGCTTGGTCGCCCTCCCATTTTTTGTGTTGTGTCGGATTCGGCATCCCAGCCAGGCTCCATCCAGCAGCTGCCCCTCATTCTATTTTCTACCTCTTGCGCACCCGCCCGCCCCATACCACAGCCCAGCGCACCGTCACCGCGACGCACCGCTTTTGCTTTTGCGCCGACTTCCCATCTTTCCACCTCGCCTTCTCCCACATCCACCTACTACCTCGCCCACTCGACTTCCCCGGCTCTTCTCCTGCTGCGCCTTGCTCTGTCATCAGTCGGCCCAGGTACCTCCAGGCCCAAGGTAGACACACACACACAGAACAACCCACTGGTGCAAGTCCGCTTGAGAGTCCTAGCGTGTGGACTGGCTCTGACCAGCAGCACCTCGACCTTTGCCTTCCCCCCCCCCCCCCCTCCCTTCTCCCCCCCCCCAAAGGCAAGCAGGTCCTTTATCTCCTGCCGTCCCCCCTTCCCCCCCTCCCCCGCCCTGTCGCCTTCTTTCCTCTGACCCTCCTTGGTCAAGACGGTCCATATGAGCTCTATGAATTCCCGCCTCAAGAGCTTTGGCTTCGGAAAACGCAAATCAACTGCCAGCATCAATCCCGACCCCAACCAGCCGTCCAGCCAAACCCCGCCTCCTGGTGGTCCCGGAGGCGCCCCTCAAATACCGCAGCAGCTGCCACTCCGCCCTGGCTCGATCGCTTCTGCCTCTTCCGCCTCCCTCTCTCCCATGAATCATCCCGGCGCTCCCAATCGCCCTCCCAGCTACTCTGCCAACAACTACCCGCCCGGCGTCGCCCCTCCAGTCGGACGCACCAGTCCTTTGAACCAAGCTCAGACGCGCACCCCGCCCACCCAAATGGTTGGCGGTCCTCCTCCCATCAACACCGGCGCTCCCGCCGGTTACCCGCCCCAGCTGCCTCCCGTCGGCGGCCAGGGACCTCCCATGGGTGGTCCTCCCGGCTATGGCGGCGGCGGCGGTTATGGGCCTCCCCCGCCTCAGCAGCAACAACAGCAACAGGGACCTCCTCTCGGACAACAATACCCCCCGCGCCCCGTCCAAGGACCAGGCGCCAGCGAAGTCGAGGGTAGCAGCCGAAACAAGGCACAGCTGATCGTCGGTATTGATTTTGTGAGTCGTACCCTACGCGCTACTGCCCCCCCAAACGATGGAGTGCAGGCTGACAATCATGAACAACACAGGGAACAACTTTCTCCGGCGTCGCCTTCGCCTTTGCCACGAACAACGAGGCGAAGGAAGATATCATCACTGAGTGGCCGGGCGCAGGATCGTACACCAAGCAGAAGGTCCGCAATGTTCCCATACACCCCATCCCAGGACCGTTGAGCCCGTAAGCTGACTTGTCATTGATGTTCAGATCCCCACCGTTCTCTACTATGACCAGTACCAGAAGGTCGTGGGCTGGGGCCCTGACATCGCCGATGCGCTGGCGCCAACGGGGTACCCGAAGCCAGGTGTGCAAAAGGTTGAGTGGTTCAAGCTGCAGCTTATGCTGTCCGGCAATACGTACATCGACCCGATCAACCTTCCGCCCCTGCCGCCTGGCAAGTCCGAGATTGATGTGGCAGCCGACTACTTATTTAAACTTCGTCAGGCGATGCGATCTGCGCTACAAAAGACCCTCGGCGAGGTCTTCAACCGCGAAGAGCGCAACATTCGCTACTATCTGACTGTGCCAGCCATCTGGAACGATGCTGGAAAGGCCGCGACGCGCGCTGCCGCCATTCAGGCCGGTTTTCTGAGGGATGAGAACGACAACAGGTTGACATTAGTGTCTGAGCCCGAAGCTGCCGCCATCTTCTGTTCCAAGACTGGTCTTCTGAACCTCAAGGTTCACGATGCCGTCTTGATCGTCGATTGCGGTGGTGGCACCGTCGATTTGATCGCGTACGAAGTCGAGGATGAGAACCCCTTCACCGTTGCCGAGTGTACAGCAGGCTCCGGTGACTCGTGCGGTTCGACGGCGCTGAACCGCAACTTCAGCAACATCTTGCGCACCAAGATCCGTAAGATGAAGTTGCCCGACGGCTCCAAGACAGCAGGCCGTGTCTATGCCAAATGCATCATGGACTTCGAGAACAGAATCAAGGCCGACTTCCGCAACAACGGTCAGAAGTGGGCTGTCGATGTTGGTATCGAGGCTGAATTCCCCGAGGCCGGTATTGAAGAGGGGTACATGACCTTCACCAACGAAGAGATTCTTCAGTGTTTCGAGCCTGTCGTCAACCGCATCCTGGAGCTCGTCAGGAATCAAATTATTGCTATCCAGGCCCAGAACCGGACACTGCAAAACATTCTGGTTGTCGGTGGCTTTGGTGCTTCGGAATACCTTTTCCAACAGATTCGCCTCCACGTGCCCCCGCAATTCCAGTCCAAGGTCGTACGACCAATGGACTCTGTCGCTGCCATTGTCAAGGGCGCTGTCACGGCTGGCATCACAGAGCGTGTTGTCACCCACCGTGTAGCGCGTCGCCACTATCTCATGGCAACACTGCAGCCCTTCAAGGAGGGTTACCACCCCGAGGCGTACCGCGTTCCCTCCCTCGACGGCAAAGACCGATGCAAATTCACGCGCCAGATTTTTGTGCAAAAGGGACAAAAGGTCAAGATTGGTGAGCCGGTCAAGGTCTCTTTCTTCCGCCAGGTTGCACCAGGCGCCACACTCATGTACGAGGATATCCTATACGCCTGTGATGATGATGTTTGTCCCGAATACACCAAGGATCCCCGTAAGTCTTCCCCCCTCAGGCCTCTGTTGACGAGCTCGTTTGACTGACACCCCCCGCAGGTATCAAGGAAGTTGTCACGCTCACCTCTGATTTGTCGAGAAAGAACCTCGAGAAGGATTTCGAGAGGATGGACACGCCGCAGGGCACCTTCTATCGCGTCTATTTCGATATTTACCTCACTCTCGACGGATCAGAGTTCAGTGCTGAGTTGGTGTGCCAAGGTGAAGTCATGGGACGATGCCGCGCACGCTTCCGATAAACGACGGTCGGCAGGCTGGGGTGACAGATGAGGCTGTTGAGCATGCATGTTTCGTTTTTAAAACCGATGATACCTTGAAAAGAGGAAATGGGCCTGGGCATGACTGTCCTAGGATGGAGCGGTATATACATACAAAGGAGCTGACGGCTACTGCTTCAAGAGCGGGGCAATCTTCAAGAGACGATGATGACAGATGATAAAGCTTTACAAGACTTCATGGTTCGAGAGAGCGAGCTGGATCCAGCCAGCCTATGGTCATGATGATATCACGGTCCGTGGCTGATGCTTTCAACCCTGGTGATGTGGTCGCGGGAATGGACATTTCCCAAGAAGCACTATACTCACCATCAATCCTGGCAGTAACCCTGCTGCTTTGCAACTTTTGGGACATTGCCCCTCAAGTATACTGACTTTGCCTTCTTATGAGCGATACCCTGCCGCCGTTGGGAGTTGGATGACTGTGGCTGTGGTGACCGCCACGGCGCCAAGACCCACCATTCCTATGTGGGGGGCTCAGGTCGAAGGCGACCCTGCATGTCCAGAAACTGGGCAGCCACGACCACCCCTCCTGCGTCATCGTCCCGCCGCCCAACCCAGCCAGCCTTACCAAGGCTCATTCTCTTCCTCCATGTCGGTCTGCCCTGTTCTGTTCCTCGGACCCTGACCGCCATACCTGTCAATCTGTAACCCTGGCAAGAGAGCCCCTTCCGAAAATGGCGGCAACAAAGGTCACATCTTGTAGAATGTCGCTTCCTCTTGTACTGAATGGAATGCCACCAAAGGTAGGCGCCCGTGGGAGCTCAGGATGTATTCCCTTCGAATCCAAAATGGTCTTGAGGTTGGGAGCGCATTGCCTGTCTGCAACGCATCAATATCCTTCGACGACTCCCTTATGAAGACTACGCTGTATATTTACCAACCCTACAGCTCGTGCCTCTTTCAGAGAGGCCCTTGTTCGTCGACCCCTGCTTCCCACAGGTCTCTCTCCAGCCAACCAGGTTCCCCATCTTCTCCCCGCGAGCGTGTCCCTGGTTTTGCTGTCCAAACAAGATCACGGCAAGCCCACCATCTTCTTCTCTGACGCTATGGCCGACAGGGGTACGCTTGTCGCCCATTCAGGGCCGAGTCCGATAATCGTTACCGGATCCTCTCCCTAGATCCATACGTCACTTGATCACCAAGCATCTGAGCCCAGTTGAGACCTCGCTCTGTTGCCGGGATATATATCTTCGTCTAGGCTCGCAGCCGTTAGCAACGTGTTATGCGAGCCTGGAGCTTCGACCACTGACATACTCCAACCCCTAAAGAAACACACTCAAAAACCTGTCTATATTCTTCTTTCGAACACCGAACTCGATCTAGACACCAGTATTCGCCTTGACTTGCCATTGTTCGGCGTCATCCCACCTGTCATTGAGGTTCAGACTGGCACGCCAAACATAAGACCTTCACGCGCCGACAGGCGCATCCGTTGATCAGCTATGTCAAAAACAGTATGCATCGCTTCGCTGTTTGCCCTGATTACACATTCCGCCGCCAGCCGGGACACCAATATCGATACAGGCTATCTTGACCCCAGTAGAGGCTACATTGCGCCTCGCCAAGGACCTTCGTCCAACTGGAAGGGCGACAAGAAACCATTGAAAATCACCAACAAGTGCCCAGACACTCTCTGGCCGGCACTCTTGACTCAACATGGCGATGGCCCTGATAGCGGAGGTTTCGAGCTGGAATCTGGCGATTCAAAGACTCTATGGATCGGATCGACGTGGCAGGGTCGAGTCTGGGGAAGGACAAATTGCACGGTTGATGGCGAGTCGGCTAGGTGTCGTACTGGCGATTGTTTTGGCCAACTCGAGTGTGGCTTCGCTGTACGCTCCTCCGCCCCAGGTGGATGAACGACTTGTACTGATTTCAACAGGGTGAAGTGCCTGCCACACTAGCCGAGTTCACTCTGGCGGGTGGCATCTCGAATGCACAAACGTTCTACGACATTTCTCTTGTCGATGGCTACAACCTCCCAATGGCTATCAATTATATTCCAGCTGCTAACACAACTTTCATCCCACCCAATCTGACAAACGCTGCGTGCATCGCCACGCCCGGCTACTTGGCCGCAGGCGCCTTGTCCGGCCAAGATTACAGCAACAGCACCTACCCGATTCCCTGGGAACCATACGAGTCCAACGACAGCGCTCGAGATTGGTGCCCCTGGTCCCTGCTGGCTTATCCTCCTGATAAACCGGGCGACGGTATCTACCCGTACCCAGACGATGACATCAAGCGGCCTGACTTCAGCCCCTGCCTAAGCCAATGCGCTGCGAGTGGGCGTGACGAAGACTGCTGCATCGGCGACTACCATGACGCCGAGATCTGCAAACCGGGCCGGTACTCAAGTCTTATGAAGACTATTTGCCCCGACGCATACAGCTTTGCCTTCGATGACCAGCAGTCTACGTTCATCGTGCCCTCGGGGGGTGGATGGGAAGTCCTTTTTTGCCCAGCAGGTAGAAGTACCACCATCCTCCGCACTCTCGGCCAGTACATGTCGGAAGTTGCTGCCTCTGGTCACTTGACAGACGAAAGCCTAGCTGCAGTCTCCAATTTGTCCTACATAGAAAAGAGGGCAGAAGAGACAGCTGCCGCTGTTGACTTGGCACGGCCAGCATTGTTCTGGACGCTCTCCGCTGCGGTTGGTAGCGTGTTCCTGGTCGTACTATAGATGGACGTGGCCGTGGGAGAGAAATCTTCAGCCAGCGCGACGGGCTGGTCCCGCACACAAGGCTGTGTTTGGTTGTTGATGGACGTTTCGTTTTGTTCTTCTGATTCAGCGCAGGAATACCCGATACGATGACATAAGATTGTGGTGGAAAGTGGCCGGCCTTGCTGAATTGGTCGAAAGAGAAAGCTATACTTCACTGTGTACCTAAATCGAGTTTAAAGACTAAATTGTTTCGAGCTCACCGACCCGCTCAACACCTTTGATGTACATGATTCACTACTTAGTAGATCTACAGACACTTTGGATGAAAAATTGAAGTGGTGGTGCTCATGTCTCAAGCCAGGTCTTCATGCTTTGCGAAAGAAAAAAAACTAGGAAATCTATGTCGTCCATCATCCGTTCGTCCCTCGTATCTTTGTCTCTCAGGTCAAGCCGCAGACATGATCACTCCTAGATCATGAATGAGATGAATGCTCCTCAGTGAACCGTACTTGTTTCTCTCCCTCACAGCAGCCGTACCTTAACCCCTTCGCGCCCTCCTCTCCTTCCGTCGACGCTCCCACTCGGCCCTCTCCTCGTCGTCGCTGCCGCTGAACTCGGCGTCCTCGTCACTCTCAACCTCCTGCTGCTGGTGTTGCTGCTGCTGGTGGGCCTTTCCGCCCTGCGCGGGCGCCGCGGGCTCGACGTTGACAAAATCGCCGGCGTTGAGGGCGGCGTACTCGTGCTTCTGGATGAGGTCGCGAAGCTCCTTGTTCGCGGGGTCGACGAGCTGCAGGGGCGTGAGGCCGCCTTTGTTCTTGACGCGTGGGGAGGAGCCGGCCTCGAGCATCATGTCGACGAGCGAGGCGCCAAAGGGCCAGTTGGCCCGCGGCTGGCCGTTGAGCCAGCGGATGGCGGTGTGGAGGGGCGTGTCGCGGTCGATGCGCGTGACGGGGTCGCATTCGAAGTTTGGTTGGTCGAGGAGTAGGTCGATGATCTCGTCTGTGGTTTGGGTCAGTTTCTGTTCTGCTTCTTGTATGGCTAGATGGGGGGCGAATGCAGGGCGTAGCGGAGAGGAAGGTGTAGAACAGGGAGCACGCACAGTGGCCACCGGCTGCGGCTTCATGGTAGAGGTGGTTGCCCAGCACGGTTGTCGTCTCGTTGAGGATCTTGGAGAGCTGTTCCTCGTCGGGGATGCCGTCGACAATCTCCTGAAATAGATCCGTGTTGTTGCGGCGGCAGGCCTCGATGAGGAGCTCCTTTGTGGAGGCACCCTGGGGGAGAACAGGAGTGTCAGTGTCCTGTCGGTGCTCGCCGCAGATGCAGGGGTATACTCGCTTACCTCGTGGACTTCGTCATCCCCCGCCATGTTTGGGCTGCGTGTTCTGGTGATGATATCGATAGAGAGAGGAGAGGAAGGCGAACGGGTGCCCTTGCCGTTCTGCCCGGTAGGAGAGAGTCGCGTTTGATGGAGAGCGCGTTTCTGAGCGGTGTTTCAAACTCGTACTGTGGTCTGGTGCCTGCTTTTCAGGTTGTGAGGAGGGGTAGCTTGGAGGGGTTCGTCGGTCGATCTTGATAGTGCGTTCCGGGGGCCTGCGGCGCACGCTTTAGAGTATCGTGGTCTGATATGTGGGGGCACAAATGTCACAAAGAAAGTAGACCCAACACTCAAGATGTCGATTAGACGATTGGGCTCGCGGCGAGAGAGTGGACGGGCATACGAGTCGTTTGCGAGGCACGGCCGCCGGCAGGCCAGGAGGTGGCAGTGAGCTGACGCTACAAGCATCTCTCATGTGATAGGCCAGTACGCCGTTTAATTCAATGCGGGGCATGTCGTCGCTCAACCATCGGGTTCATGCACGTGGAGGGTGCTGGGTGGGGCCTCATTCTTTTTCGAACCTGCCGGATGAGTATCGCAAGACTGTGATGCCCCAAAATCTTGCCACACATTGAACGACAGACAGCGACAGATTGTGAAATTGGACCGAGTCATCTTTTCCAGCAAGGAACATTTGTGGATGCAAGACTTCTCTTTGCTATCTGTCTTGCCTTCGAGAGCACGCACTTTCTGCCATCCCACCTGATCATCTCTCAAGATGCTCGTGTGTAAGCCTTTCTGAAGGCCGTCATGATCTCCCTTCATCTCACTGACAAGAAACAGTCTGCCCCAATTGCGCCAATATCCTCACTGTCTCGGCAGTTGGCTCGGTTCGCAACCGCCTCGAGTGTCGCACATGCCCCTTTGAACACCCCATCACAGCACCCATCTACTCGCGCCGCGAGTTCGAGCGCAAGGAGCGCGAGGACGTCTTTGGCGGCCCGGGCGAGTGGGACAATGCCGATAAGGCGCGCGCGCAGTGCCCCAAGGAAGGATGCAATGGCGATGAGGCGGCCTTCTTCCAAGTTCAGATCCGGTCTGCGGATGAGCCGATGACAACGTTCTTCAAGGTAGGCAATGTAATGCCCCGCGAGGCAAGACCTTTAGCTGACGTCTACAGTGCATGGCCTGCGGCAACCGATGGAGAGAGAATTAGACGCTCGAGACGAAGAGTTGGAGCAGCAGTCTCGTGAAATGTTTTGGTATTGCGCGGCGTTGGGGTTTGATCTCGGAACGTGGGTTCGACGGCCTATTCTTAACTTCTGAATGGCATGGGTATCTTTATATCTTTTCGCGACCCGTGATAATGCACTCTATGCACCATATCGCAGTGCTGTCAGCATCGCACCTGATACTGACTGCTAATGTGTACATGCGCTGGCGTCCGTTGCTCTAGCTTGGGGCCGGCACATCGCTATTGTGCGTTTGTAGAGTCATATTGGCCGGTTGTTCGTTGATGTGTTGTGAATATTGGCCTCGCAAAGTCTGCCGCTAAACACATTCTTCCCGTGTCTATCAATCCTCACTTGTCGTCGTCGTGGTGCCACTCCACGGCTGCTCGCATGCCATCATCAACCAGCCTCTGAACCAGGTCAGGACTGATGATATCCTGCCTGAACTGCGGCTGTTGCAGAAGCTCAAGATGTTTCAACGTAGGTCCGGGGTACATGAGGTACTTCAGGTATGGCGGCTTGGACCAATACTGGAGGTAGGCGAGATAGGCGACGAATTCGGGCTTGCTGAGGAGCTTCTGAGCGGCAAGGTGGTTCAGGTAGGCTGGGTTCGCAAGTGACTGGACAAACTGTTTGATTGTCAGCAAATATGCCACATGACCACCGACCAGACAGTGGGCTACGCAACATATCAGGACGCGTAGGTGAGCACCAAACTGACCTCTAGCTCGATTTCGAAGCGCGTGAAGCCGCCATAGACAGGCTCCTTGTCGTCATTGCCAGCCGGTGCCACTGGCGGCAAGTTTGTCATGGGGACATCCTTCTCTTCTGACTTTGTTTCCATCGTGAAGCCGTCGATCGCAACTTGGTCATGAGATGGGCGACGATGCCGTGGAGTGAAGTCGTGAGGGAATGATGGATGCTGTAGGTTCGTCACAGTCGAGACGTGGAGTACCTAGGTCTGTAAGGATTTAGCGTCTCATGCCCGCCATTACTGCCGCCGTACCTGGAGGGTCCACTTTACCGACGCGGGGCTGCAGTAGTGGCCGCGGGCTTGTACCACCGGTAAGCTGCGCTCATGGCCATTGCCCCACTGCTCCCCTCTCCTCCTTGTTCCCTTCGGAGCACCTCATCCAGACTGGTTGTTGGCCAGATACTCAAGGATCTGTTTGAATGTGCCATCTATCTAGAGCTTGAACCTTACAACTTGGGTCTCGTCTCTCCATAATATTCCTTGAGATTCAGTGCCTCCATTGGATGTTGTCCCATTTGCCGGTGAGTGATGGAATGCCATTCTTCATTCTGTTGGGGCTCCTGTCATTTTTAGGCAACGTAGCTTATTTGAACAAGTTGCGGCTTGCGTTCGTCTCCCGCACCTTGATCCAGTCCAGACAGTTCACATCTGCATTTGCCTTTCAAACCAAACGTCGGTTACCAGAATGGCCGCATCAAATATCAAGACGAGGATCCTCGTCATCTCCGACACTCACGGCAAGAAGCCTCTGGAGGCTGGCTCCGATGAGACTACGAATCCGCCAACACAGGCCTACCGTTACCCTCTACCCAAGGCAGACATCGCCATCCACTGTGGCGACCTTACGTTGGGCTCGAATGTTGAGGAGTTCGAGGCCACCTTCTCCATGATTCGGGCACTTGATGCACCTCTCAAGCTTGTTATAGCTGGCAACCATGATCTCGCACTCGATCGCGCTTTTTGGGAGGATCACGCCCTTCACGGCTTCCAAGCTAAGTACCCCACAGGGAAAAAGAGGGAACTTTACATGAAACGCCCGGATCAGGTTGCCGCCATCATCGAGGCTGCAAAACAAGACGGCGTGCGCTACCTCGACGAAGGCACGCACGAGGTGGAGCTACAGAATGGCGCGAGGCTGCGCGTGTATGCCTCCCCCATGACGCCCGAGTTCGGTGGATGGGCGTTTCAGTACCCCTATGGTCAGCACGACTATGACATGCCGATTGGGGGTATTGACATCGCCATCACGCATGGGCCCCCGAAGAGAGTAATGGATGAGTGCAGAAGCGGAGACGAAGCCGGCTGCCCGCAGCTTTTCGGTGCTGTTGCAAAAGCCAGGCCCAAGATCCACTGCTTCGGCCACATCCATGAAGCCTGGGGCGCCGAACTTGTGACTTGGAGAAGCCCTTTGGACATGCCGATGAATGTTCACTTCAATAATGCCGTGGACTGGGGACAATCGAGAGTTATACACAACTTGAACCGACTCGTTCCAGGCGAGTGGGATAGCAAAGAGGAGGCAGAGACGAAGATGGAAAGGAGAAGGAAGATGTACGAGGAGAAATGCGCACCTCTTGACATATCCTCAGGCGGGCCCTCGCCTCTACGGTTTGGCGAGCAGACATTGTTCTTGAATGCCGCGATCATGGACATTCACTACCATCCGACAAACGTGCCGTGGTTGGTCGATGTGGATCTGCCGGTTTCTGGAGCAAGCGAGTAGCCAATGTTCCTCGGAGACGTACGCTGTAGCACTTGCCATGCGTTTACCAGCTTATGTTGTGTAACAAAACCGATTGTGACACCCCGCAACCACAACGTCTGGCGACGACTTAAACCACCTGCCATCAGAAGCAAGATATGAGTGCACGCCTAGCCATTGTGACTGATTGAGCTAAGATACGCGCTGTTGGCATGGCATGATGATGAGCACTCGCAACACTATCCCAGCTTCGCTTTATTTTGTACAGTCTCTTGTCTCAGAGCTCCTTGAATATCAAGGGACTGCTCCATTACTCGAACATAGGGATGTGCTGAAGAACGAGGCGATTACGAGTCACGAGCGGTCCAATTTGACAAGGCCTCAAGTGTTGTATTAATATACCTTGCCTATTGCTGAAACAAAACGGCCGAGCAGGGAAGCCCAGCCTTGCAGTTCCGACGCCTCGCAAAATCCCGTTTCGACCATATTATGTTTTCCCTCTCGACACCCAAGTAAACCTCTCTCTCTCTCTCTCTCTCTCTCTCTCTGCGACGCTGCGCTTAGAGAGCAGCGGCAACACCGAGAATGGCGGCCATGGCGGCACCGGCGAGGGCGACGGGGGTGGCGGCAGCGCCGCTGCCACCAGTGGCGGTCGAGGCAGGGCGAATGGAGCTGGAAATGGCAGAGGTAGCGTTGATAACACTGCTGGTGGGCACGGCGGAGGAGCTGTCGTCGTCGTCGGACTGCGAGGCAGTGGGGGTGGCGGAGCCGGACTGGGCGCGGGTGACAGAGCCGGTGGCGGTGGCCAGGAAGGCCGAGCAAGCAGCGCCAGCGGCGGACTGGGCCTGGGCGACCTCGGCCGAGCCACAGGAGCTGAGCAGGCAGGGACCGACGATGGGGAGCAGGCGGGCCTGGATCTCAGGAGTGCACTGGCAGGCAGTGTCCTGGAGAGCACAGCCGACCTGGGGCAGGGCGGTCTGAAGGCAGGGCAGCTGGAAAGCGTCGCGTTAGTAGGGTTGAGATGCGAGTTGAGGATAGAGGAATGGCCTTACAGCACAGCTGGGCTGACCACCAAAGTCCTGGGCGGCGACAAGGCCGGCGGCGACGAAGACAAGGGCGTACTTCATTGTGATGGTGTAGAGCAGAGTCAAGGGTGGAAAGTGCTGTGCGATGTGCAGCCGGTTTGCCGTGAAGAAAGGTACTGTGAGAGAGGTAGAGAGCGTGGTGAGGTGTGGAAGGAAGAGAGGGGAAACTGTCTTCACGAGGGAGCTGGCGACGATAAATGGACTCCAGCCCAAGGTGCTGACCCCCAGGTTCCCAAGGCGCGCCTTCCATCCCCACGTCAGCAAAGCTTACCATGTAGGTCCCGGGGGCTCCTTCCCTGTCAAGCTCGCCAGGGGCGATCGTATCGGACCCCAGAAGCTTTTCCTAGGCTGCCATCAGTACTGGTCTAGTCCGTTTAGGAACATCAACAGATCAATTGATTGGCACGCTCTTTCCCAGCAAAGCTATCAGGGTGGAGCGACAATGCTGCTGGGTCACGGTCCAGGGGCCCTGGCCACGAGTCAAACGTCCACTTATCCACTCGGTGCAGGTACCTTACAGGCAGGCACGGTATTTACCTTCACGTACCTGAAGGTACCTAGGTGCTGGCACACATACTTGACAGGTTCAGGCACAGGCACAGGGTTTCATATCGCCCGTCCACCAGGTTCTCTTTACCTTCGGGACTATCGGTTAGACATCAATTTCTCCATATTGGGTGGGTTTTTGTCGGTACTACTCTGCCGAACAGCCCAACACGTCTACGGCAGTTGCCGAGTTATATATGTTGTCATGTTCCTGGTGCCTCATTTTATCCTTGAAACTCTGTCCTGGTCTTGTCTCGTACGAACGCATCCGGCACTTGAACAAAGTGAAGTGGTTCAAGAGCCTGCATTGACCATGTAAATGGACGTCTGGCTCTTTGATTTCAACATGGTGTCTGTCCGCAAATCTCTTCGCCTCTTTGTCTTCAGTTGCCCGCATGTTTCTCCCACCGTGTTTGTCTGTCAACCCGTCAATATGACGCTTTTGGTCCGCAAAACGGCACACTCTACCTCCCCGACTTTCTGAGAGACCTTTGCTTCGGGAGTCAAGCAAAGTCCCGCCGAGCATGCCTCAGCGTGCCGTCATGCGGAGTTGCATATGGAATCAGCCAGACCTTGTCGCCCGTCCTACAGTTCCCAACAGGCCCGTACTTGCCAAAAAGACTTGCGTGATTCTTCTTGTGTGCTCTCCCTTCTTTGTCGGCCTGTGCTGGCATTGATGCCTGGAATAACATTCACTGGCTGCACCTGCCATGCCTGCTTTTATCGCGGGCTCCCATCCCATTTTTGCCCCAGAGGCCTGGAAAGCTTCGCAACCAAACTTCCATTCCACTCTCCCTTCCCACTGGAGCATCATCGACCCACATACATTTGCCGCCTGTTGCATCCGCTGTCTGGCTCATTTCCCTTACTCAACGGAGAGAGCGAGAGCGAGAGGGAACGTGTGGCGCAGACACAACTCGTCTGTCTGTCCATCATCATCTTGGTGGAGTTCGCCCCTGGACAGAGTTCCTGTCGCATGATTTATCGTTACGTATTCCCTTCCGCCATTGTGACGATGGAATTCGGGGAAAGCGGCAGCGAGTCTGCAGACGACCTAAGAGAAGCCAATAGACAGCTCGAACAGCTTCGTCAGCAGCGTGGACTTGGCTCAGAGCAGCATGGATTTGTTGCCCGAAACCTCGAAAGTGCTCTTGATATTCTGGCGTCGCAGCTCAACTCCAAGACAACTCACTTTATTTTGGAGCTCATCCAGAATGCGGATGATAACGCGTATCCAAGTGGCGTCCAGCCTACATTCAGCCTTGTCCTCGGCAAGAATGGATCCAACTTCACACTTCGTACCGACTGCAACGAGACCGGCTTCTCTTTGAAGAACATCGATGCCATTTGCAGTATTGGCAAGAGCACCAAAACCGGGATTATCAATGGTCAGAAAGGGTTCATTGGCGAGAAGGGCATTGGATTCAAGAGCGTCTTCAAAGTTGCCCATCAAGTCGACATCCTGAGCAACTTTTATGAGTTTCGAATTGACCGCACAGCCCTCCTGGGCATGCTCGATCCGAAGCCGCATAGATTCCCTGACACTCAGAGACGTGAAGGGCACACCCAAATGCTGCTTCATCTTCTCAGGGACAAAGACCACAGAATTTCTGACATAACCAAAGGACTCCAGCAAATCAAGCCGGAGTTGCTTTTGTTCCTGCGTCAGCTGAGCGTGCTGGATATAAAGGCCGAAAACGGACATTGCGTGTATAGGTCAACTCGTCAGGATCGGGATCCAAGATACGACGGAGAAACTGTTTCTTTGATTGAGGATCGTGCCGGATCCCCACTCGATGAGCCCGTGAAGACCACAAAGCTATATCTCATTGTACGGTACGAATTGCAAGACATGCCTGTCGATGCCCGCCGGAATAGCGTTTCCAGCACCGAGATCACACTGGCGTTCCCTGTTGGCTCCGAGCTCGAGACATGTGAGGCTTTTGCTTTTCTGCCAATCGACCAGTCTGGATTCAACGTGAGTTCACCTGGCTTATTGGGATATGTCTGCCATAGTAACGAACATGGTTATCTAGTTCATCGTGCAGGCCGACTTCCTTCTTGTGGCCAATCGCCAGGCACTGCAGCATGCCCTGCCGTGGAACCAAAGAATCCTTGAGGCTATTCCCGATGCCTTCGTGCAAGCAGTTCATCACTTCAACCATCCCGGTGCAACACACGGATACAGTCTGAAATACGAATGGCCTCTCTTCCTCGAGTACACCGGCCCGAAGAGCTCCCCCTGGGCAGAGGTTCATCAAGGAATCAAGAAAAGACTGTGCGACGAGGACGTTCTTGAAGCTCGAGATGGCAGCTTTAGGGCTGTGCGGCCTATTCCATGTCCTGCGGGCACTCAGCAGACTGCTGCCCACAAGCCACTCATTGTCATTCCAACAGAGTACCGCTTTGACAATGGCTTCCTAATTGATGCGACAATCAACCACGGCCATCATCTGGCGTTCGAATACGACCCTGTCTTGGAGAAGTTGAAGACACTCGACATGAAGGAGATGACTGGTGCAGGTCTTCGTAACGAATTCAGCGATTGGCTCGAACGTGCTGGCCATGCCGGACTTGCCGCGAAGTCTGACAAGTGGCACGTGGCACTGGCTGCGGCCTTCATGTGGAAGGGTCGCAGCAAGCAGAAAGACAAGCTTCAGGAACTACCTCTGGTTCATCTAGCAGACGGGAGCTGGGCAGCCTGTGCGCGCGGCGACATCTTTTTCCCGTCAACGTCAACGGGAGCAGTCTTGAATGTGCCCTCTGATCTTGGAATTCGAATCGTTCATTCAAATGCTGCAAAAGATCCACATCGACGGGAGTTCTACACTTACCTCGGTGTCAAAAAGCTGGACGCTGAAACAATTTGTTCTTTGATTCTCGAAAAGCACGCAACGATTCCGAGACCTAGGCGGAAGCAGCTCAACTGGGTGCTCGACATCCTGTTCCTTTTCAGACAGAAGAAGCTTCTAGCGACCATGGACAAGAAACCTCGATGGTTTCTGGTGGCCGGCAACAGGTCGGTCGCAGAGCATGTGTATGTGGAGGATCCGTCTAGCCACTGCCCTCTCCTTTCTAGACTCATTGCCGATCCTAGCTCGGAGATACGAACCCCCAGCAGCGATATTATGGACGCATTCACTGGGGACACCAAATATGAATTCATCAGTTGGTTGCAGCAGCTCCCGGGAGTGTCCTCACGACCCCGACTCGTACATAAAGGCTGTTTGACTAGAGAATGGCTCGTTCTCAGTCAAAATGCAGGCAATGAGCTCTTGATTTACCTGAAAAACATGTACAAGAATGACCACCAATCTTTCAGTCACATGGGCGAAGTTGGGGCCGCCATGGGTAACATTCGCGTTCAACTGATGAACGACCAAGTCAAAACCTTGGCAGGCACAGCCTTACCTACCGAACAGCTGCAGCGACTCTGCCCTGACCTTGACTTTGTTCGCTTACCGGAGCCGAAAGACAAAAGCTAGGAGTTTTTGTCTGCGGCTGGAGTATCGCGAAGTTTTGACTCCAGGGCTGCCCTGGGACAACTGCAGCGAATTGCCCAAAGGCCAGCATACGCAGTCACCCAAGAATCGGTCAACGAATTTTATAGAAAGCTGAGCATAAGTGCCCGAGACTTTCAACCTCAGATCCGGTAAGTCTTTCTTCTCGCCCTTGTTGGACGTTTATGTAACTCATAGGAAAATACAGAACTGCATTTGCACAGCAGCCCTTGATCTTCATCAGCGGCCCAAATCCCCAATGGGCTTATCCGACTGACTGTATATGGCGTCGGCCTGACTACGTTGAAACTGGATTGCCCCTGCCCAAGGTGTATGAAGGCTATACTGGTCTGTTCAGGGATTACCTCGAGATTCGAAGCATCAACACAGGTGATATCGCACGCGAGATAAAGGCTATAGCCCAGAATGGGGGAAGTATTGGCAAAGTTCAACATCTTGTTCGAGACCTCATTGCTTTGCTTCCTCATGGGAGACTCGCTGAACTAGAGGAGCAAGACCGAGACGAGATCGAGGGAGCACAACTATTCCCTGTCAAGACTTGTTCGCACCGCAGTAGCGACACTGAGGGGCCGACTGCTTTGCGCAGCCTTCGAGACATGAAATGGTATATCGCAGACAGGCCGGAGCTGGAAAAGATGTTCATCGGAAAGATCGAGCTTCTCGATGTAGATGCGAGTCACCGAAGAAGCCTTGTGGGCGCGTTTGGGCTGCACCGTCGACAACTTTCCAAGGCTGTCACAGAAGAAGTGACTTGGAACGATCGGGGACAAACTGTTGATCGCAACATGACAACCTCGTTCCGTTCTAGGGCTGCACAATTTTGCAGGTACGACTCGATGTTTCTTTCGAATCTTAGATTCACGTTACTGGTCAGGCTAACATGACTCAGGCTCAGTAGCAACCCGACCGCCGAAATGCTTGATCGGCTCAAGAAAACCGAAGTTAAGACGGTCTCATGCATAAACATCACGAGAAATCTCGATGGATGCGACCCGATACGAGATGCGTCGCGTCGCCACCATGTACAGGAGCTCGATGACCGCATCGTCATCTATCACACCACTCTCACCGAGGCGGATGTGATGCACCTCGAAGACGACTTCTCAAGTATGGTCGTCAGAACTTGCGGTATTGACGATGCGCGGTGGTCTCGGCTGGTTCCTTTCATAATGCGAGTGGATCCGGACCAGATCATGGATTTTCTCGACAAGCATGATGTGCGTGACAACAACGGGCTGGCGTATGACATGGTGGACGAGTGGGAGAAAGCCAAGAGCGAGAATGGTCAGTCTGAGAAGAAACAGGGAGACCAGGTGATCGAATCTGGTCCAACAGAAAACGCCATGGATGTGGGCGACGGCCCAGATGATCTCGACTTGGGCGGCATTTCCTTTGAAGATAACGACGCAGGTCTGTATAACGACGAAGATTTCGAGGGCGGCGCCCCCGACAAGCCGGACGCTCTCAAGAAAGCCACCGAAGCTGCTGAGGTTGAACTGGAGGTAACGGCGCGCCACTGCCCTGGGACAGCTCCCTCGTCATCGTCTCCAACATCGAATCCCACGCCTCTGAGAAACGTCCGCCGTCATTCCAGAGTTGAGGAGTCATCTCATACTCGCAAGAGGCAGCGCGTTGAAAAGATCACGACTCCACCCAGTGTCGACAGGATCAGCGAGGACGCAGACGTATATGATGATTTGGCAATCGACGACGCTGTTGAGCTCCCATCGGAGCCGACAATCGAGGTGGACGTCCCGCCGATTCCTCACGAGCCAGAATACCCTGGAGTGAGACAAAATGTAAGCCCAACTCAATGTGTCCAAGTCCCCGTTGCTGAAACTCCTGCAGGTGGAGGCCCTATTGAGCGAATTACTCCCTGGCTGGCAGCCGTATGGAGACGAGATGCCCGACTGCTATCGATACGTCGACGACGGAGACGAGACCATGCTCAAGTTTTCCAAGAGATTTCATCTCAGGGCTGACAGTTTTGAACACATTGCACCGCAGATGAAGGCGGGAACCACCTACTGTCTCGATATCAAGATTACTGCCGGCGAAGTGTCGACGCCTTTCGGTTTGAATAAGACGCAAAATCACTTTGTAAGTGGCCCAGCCCTGTGCGGGAGGAGACTAAGTAAGATGCTGACCGACCCAGGCTCTACAGCATCACAAACGAGACAACACGACCAACATTGTGTATCTTGTTTTGCGGGTATCTCACGCCCTACATGACATCCAGGACCTCTTGGTCGTATTGAACCCTTGGACTCGCCGCGTTGATGAGAATGACCGGACGGAGCTCCAGTGTAGCGAGTGGACTGTGTTCAACTTTGTGTGAGCAGAGGAGCCGTGTGTGTGTGTGCGCTGGAACGCCTTGCTGTTTGCAGTCGAGTCAAGTGCATGAGACCTAGTCTAGGGATATGGTTTGCTCAGTTAGTTGTGGAGGATTGGCTGAACTCTTCTCCGCAAGACTGGACCGTGTTCTTACGAAGCATAGCGAGTCCATGACTACCAAACACGGCAGCGGATGTCGTTTGCTTACGTGTGCGGGACCATGTGGCGGCACGACTTGCTACGTGATGAAGGAAATAGGAGAAACCAAAATTTGACAGCCATTGAGAAAACAGAAGGATCGAAGCCAATGTCTAATCATATTTGCTACATTCTGACAGTATGCGAACAGGGCACCACGCCAAGTCCCGGTTCCAAGGCCTACTTGTACAACAGGCTAGTCCCACTGCCGCCTACTCATGATGACGGGCCTCGCGGGATCCCACGGCCCGTAGATTTCATTCTTGTACTTTTGCAGCCCAATGAGCCACCAGCTGCACCCGCCCATGACGAGGGCCGAAATCAAGACGCTGACGACCATGCCGGCGACGGCGCGCTGCCAAGGAAAGGAGGGCGCGGGCTCGCCAATGACGATGGCGACGCCGGCACCGGCGCCCAGCACGAGGAGGGAGGAAAGGGCGTAGTGGTAGGCCGGGGAGCGGTGGCGGGCGCTGCGGCGGAAGACGGGGAAGAGACCAAAGACCTCGATGGAGAAGAGGGTCAGGGAGAAGACCTGGCCGGTGGAGGGGAGGCGGGAGGCGAGGACGGTGGAGGCCATGAGGGCGGCGTTCGTGGAGAGGGAGGCGGGGGTGCGTGGGGAGGAGGCCGAGGGGGCGGTCGAGTAGTCGAAGGAGAATATGTTGACGGCGAGGAGCCAGAAGGACATGGCGTAGATCGAGTCGGAGGTTGTGGAGAGGGTCAGGGACATGAGGATGGGAGAGAGGCCGAGGAGTGTGCTGGAGATGAGGATGGCGGACTTGAGGGTGCCGATGCGTTGGTGCATGACATTCGTCGTCTGGTCATCTTCTTGCAGCGGTGGTGGTGGTGGTGATGATGACGATGACACTGTCGATGTGTGCTCCTGCATCGGCTTGTACGATGAAGGGACTGATGTCGAGGTGGCTGAGTGGAGGGAGGTGGCCGAGGCGGAGTAGGAAGTACGCGCGTAACTCTGGGCAGACAAGTTGGTCACGGAACTGGTGGCCGAAGGGATGGCGGACGAGGGCCGCGTCGAAGCCGGCAGTGAAGGGGCCGGTGGCGGCAAGGAGGGCCGATGGCGCATGCTCCCACCACGGCGCCCGATGGCACCGGGGCGGCTGGCAGTCAGGCTGGTGGACGAGCCGGGGGTCAGGTCAATGGCGGCATCAGCCTCGTCGGCGTCCCACTGCTCCCACAGGCGCCAGCCGACGAAGGAGGCGATGCTGCTCCAAGACACGACAGCCATGGGCGAGACGCGCTTCTGGAGGATGCCGCTGAAGCAGACGACGAAGATGATGACGGAACACACGTGCTGGAGGATGACGGTCGAATCGGCGACGAGGGGCCAAAAGTCGTAGGGCTGCAACCGGGGGTTTCGCTTGAGGTTCTCCAAGAAGGTGACCTGGTCAGTGTAGTTGTCCGGGTAGGATTGCTTCACCCAGAGGAGCTTCTTCCAGGTGCGGTGCTTGCTGCTGCGATGGTGGTGGCGGCTCCGACTCCGGCTGCCGCTGCCGGGCCGAGAAGCATGGGCACCCTCGAACGGCGGGAAGACGCCGCTGTGCAGGTTGCGGCGAGGTGGTGAGGGCCCCGTGAAGAAGGCATCTTCGGGGGCTAGGTGGGACCGTTCCTGGCGATGGGTCCGCGTCCTCGAGCTGAAGGAGGGTACGGAAGCGACAGCGCGAATGTTGATGGGAAGGGTGGAGGATCTGGCGAGTGGTGCGAATGGCTCAAATTCGACATCGGCCTCAGCTTCGGCTTCGGCTCCGGCTCCAGCTGGAGGTTCGTCAGGGGATGTCTTTGGCTGACGGGTTGATAGTGGTGCAGCCATTGCGATGGAGTGAGTGTCCTCTTTTCCTTCGCCAACTCTCCTCTACGATTCCATGAGTAGTCTCGTGGCAGCGCTGGGCGGCATGGATGGATTGAGGTGCGGCCCTAGTCGCGTTTCGCGCTCAGGCTAGATGGGAGGTTGAGGTTGAGGTCTTCTCCGACAATGTTTCACGACGCAAGGACGGAGGATGAGTGCCACGGACACGGACACAGACCCACCCCCTGTGGCGGATCCAATGGGGGAATGGGTACGGTGCTCGCTGGGCGAAAGGGTGGGAGTGGCGCTCGACGGGTTCCCTGCAAGGCTGTAAAACTAGGTGCAAGGCTACTACAGAGCAAGGGGGGAAAGGCTTAGCGAATCATTTGCTATGCCCTTCATTGGTGAGACTCACTCACCCAACCTGCCGTCCTCCTGACCTCAGGAACAGAGGCCTGACCCCAGTGCAGGTACAGAGACCCTACTCCAGCTCAGGTGCAGAGGCCTGACCCCAGCTCAGGTACAGAGGCCTGACCCCAGCTCAGGTACAGAGAACTGCCCTCCCTTGGGTAAGGTAGGTAGGTAGGTAGGTACTACGCTACTCGGGCACCTTGAACAGACATCAGCCACAATGTCCTGATGTCTGATCAATGCGTTGAGCACACCATCATCCATCTCGTGTTCAGCGACAAAGGAGCTCAGCAACACAAAAGGAGAGAGATTCGTCATGGCTACCATAGCATGTGCTGATAAGAGAGAGTCGATGCTAAGCTTCGCGGCATGTCTAGGACCACCTTCGGCACAGACGGAACCACAGCATGCTTGACAGCGCGCGCCGAACTCTGACGTTCCTTACCTTATCCTTTGTCATATACGTACCTTAAGTTCAGGCATTAACATCGCCCCCCCAGTCATCATAGCCTGGCCGTTCGTCTCTCTCCCGGATGGAACCCTGCCTGTGAGCACAACGCTTGCCGAGAGAGAAGAAAAGTGCTTCTTTGTTGTATCGTCAAGCAACATCTGCCGAGATGCTGCGTCTCCACATGGCCTTCCTCATGCTGCACCCGTCAATCGCCCGCTAAGCCACCCAGCGACACACCTACAAGTCATGAAACGAGAGGCATTTGCCAGCGAATACGGCAAGCGTAGGCAGACGCCCATCGTGTGTTTCGTTTGCGGGGCCACGGGGCCAGGCTGCCAGCTTTTGGGGGATGATGCCCCGAGCGTTCTCCGACCGCAAAGTCGATAGCGCCTGTAGCTATTTTCGGGAGCCTTCTCGAAAAAAAGGAACGATGAAAATTCATTACCGGAAAAGGCAAGACAGGGGGGTAATGCGTCATGTGGATCACCCTAATCTACCATCATGAGGCATCTCTGTTCACTGCGCAGACGCCGTAGGTTGAACAATCCGCCCTGCGTGAGCGACCCTTCCCTTCCGGCGGTGCTCGCCATGTCAGCCATGGGGCGATGATTATCCTCCACAGACACCAAGCAGCTTGCATCCACCCAGCAGCCTGCCACGAGCCGGACACACCGGTCGAGTGAATACATAATCCATCTCCATCGCGCCCCGCGCGTCCCGCCGAAACACGAGAACAAGCTTTCCCGACCTTTGATGACCGATCGGGAGCCAAGTACATTACATGTACACGCAAGTAACGAATCGGACGCTTTCGACCTGCAACCTGAGGCCGTCTTTGCTGTGGGCCATTTCGAGGAATAGGGACGCTTCTGCGACGTGACGAGTCCTGTTTTCCCCCAAGTGCAGTCGTGCTTCGTCCCAGGGGATGGCACATTATTGGATGCTGTCTCGAACACTCCAGTTCGAAAAAAAGGGACCCCTGATCCTTAGGTCCAGACTCCCGGCACCCACAACCGAACGCCCCAGACCAGAACCAGACTTGCTCCCCGCCCCTTCGGAGCTGTCGACCTCGTCTCTTGGGCTGGGCCCCTTGGCTTTGAGAGACAAAGCAGGGGCCCAGAGCGCGCCCGAGACCCAAACGTCTGTGCTTCTAGAGCCTGCGCCGCGCCTTTGCTGGACTCCCTCGCTCATGCTCATGCTCGTGTCCTGGTCAATGGTCAATGGCTCGTCGGCAGACGGAACGGGGTCGGCGGCGTAACAAGATCAGGCGCCAGCATAAACTCATATTAAAGTCCTCGTGTTGATCTCTCGTCTCGAGGGCTCGACACCCCTCTCGCATTCTGCTCCTGTTTCCTTTTGCTCTTGCTTATCTACAGCTGTCTCCTCCCACTCACTCTCACTCACCCCGCCTCTTCAGAGCACCACCCTCGCGACTAATACACCTCGAGCAACACCACCTGCACTATCGCCCTTTGCATCGACTGGGCCACGGGCAGCACCCATTCGCACCACCTCACAACTTCCTCTTCCGGACACCTGCACTCCTGCGGCGCCTTTAACCAGCCTGCCATCGGCCATTCATGCAACCAACTTGCATACGGTGAACCAGAGTTCTAGATCGTAGAACCCAATCTACATAGTCAGCCCTTTCCCAAACCGAAAGCCCGGGACTTCGACCTCCACATTACACACACAACGGTATCTACCTCTGAGAGAGAGAAAACGCTCTTTGCACGACTTTGAAGAGTGATTCACCCGAGTCGGTCTCTCGCCCTTTGTTATTTCAACAAGGCCACCCCCTGCCACCTTGAAAACCGTCTTCGTCCTCAACTCGCTCTTCTACCCTCACAAAGCAAAATGCGGACGGCATCATTACTCTTGGCGCTTGGCGTGACCCAGTTGGGCCTCGCAGCTCCTGTCCCGCAGTCGTGGGAGGATCTCGTGTTACCCGAGGGCCTCAGCTCTCGTAGCGTTCCGGTCACAAGGGTATCCAGGCGATCAACCAAGACCGGCGAAACACCAGACTTTGACTCGAACCGCAGCAGCCTCAACTCCGGAATCGCCTTTGACAACCGGCCCTTGACACCGTCCGGCACGGTCCCGGCATCCGAGGCTCTCACAGCGACGCGGCCACTGCACACAGCCTTCCTGCAGGCCCTCTCCAAGGGCAAGGATGCCATCATGGTCATTGTCGACGTGGAGGACGACGGCACGCCCGTGGTATCGGCGGTGCCCGTGGCCGTGGCGCATCACTTCCCCGCGTACGAAGCCATCGCCGAAGTGGACGCGGCCACGATCAAGCCAGCAGAGGTCGTCCGAGTCATCGAGGTCACCAGCGGCGTTGCCAAGAAGAAGAATTTCTGGGCGACGCAGGCAAAGACGGGACCCGCCCTGTCGGGGTCGACCACGGGCGAGATGCTCAAGGGCCTCTACGCCGATTACACGCCGTGCTGGAAGAAGACGACGGCGCGTGTGCATCGTCTGGCGCGTGGCAAGGCCGACCTCATCGTCGTCGGTGCTTTCCTGGCCCTGACAGTCATGCTGTGGACGTTGCAGGTCATGTCTGGCGTCATCCTACGGTACGTAACACTCTCGCTTTTCCCCCTTCCCTTTTCCTTCATCTCGCGTACCCTGCGCGTCCATTCACATCGGCTGACACGTTGAAAATGTAGGAGCTGCAGCGACTGGCTCGGCTCTCGGAAGGGCACCATTCGGCTCGAAGGCGGCGAGAGGGACCCGTGCCCAGAAGACTATGAACTGGAGAAGACGACAGAGACGGTGTAAGCCGAGGGGTTTTTTTTTTTTTTTTTTTTTTTTT